ACGGTCAATTCCAGCAGCCCAGCCTGATTGTCCAAAGCTACGGACATCAGGCCATCCTTGAAAATGTTTCTTTTAAAAACATCCGTCATTGTGAGACATTGGGCCTAGAGGAAGGCTTGAGACAAACTGAAACTGATGAGACAAAAGATGGACGCTGTCTAGCTTTTGGATGCGGAAAATGAGCCAGTAGCCATTGGCTGCTTCTAAAAAAGTGGATGGATTTAAACCTTTTTATTTTAAAAAAATTAGAAAATGACATGCTCTACTAGAACAACTGGGCGCCATGCTGAAGTGAAGGAGAATGAAAGACAATTCCATCCATCTTCAGCTCATCCCTGGTCTTAGATTATTGAGTCCACTGCCGGTGATCCAGATAATATCAAGCCTTTATTACTCATTTCAGTTCTTCTACTTTTGAACGGCGCTCTGTGAACGTGTTCCCATCTCAAACCAATCACGGCTCATTATAATGTTTGGCCTAGCAATGTTCTCACCCCCCCAGTGACACAAATCCGTATGCTATATCTAGAATATGATTACACTAAATTACTTTTGAAATGTGGTCCAGTGTCATTATCAATGTTCCATTGATCAAACAATCATATCAAGCGTAATTTGGAAGAGAACTCGTCATAAAAAAACACAAAAAAAACAGTACAATAAAGGGCATTTTAGAGAAAAAACTGCCGTGGCTGTAAGATGGTAAAATTAGCTCAGGAGGGAGCTGCAGAATCGCACGTTTGGAAGTTTCTTGAGGCAGTTTTTCCAAACGTGCGAACGTTCCTGGTGGCAACAAATGTTCCTTCCGGCCATGAAAAGACCCCCTACTGCTGCTGCGTACGCAACGAGTTTTAAGTTTGCTCCATGTTCTGAGATAATCAAAGCGGGGCGCTTTTACAGTTTGGGTTTTCTCCCCGTAGCGTTCTTTGCTGCTAACAAGGTAAACCGGGGAAGGGGGGCTGTAAACAAAAGGATTGTTTACAGAGGGGGGGAATTGCTCTGGTCCGATGTGGATTAAAAGGCCAATTACATAGAGCAGTATTGATGGTCATGCATCAAGTATCATGACAGTCATGATAATATTCAGAATATATTCATGTTTATTTGCTTGTCGTCCGCTTTCAGCTTAATGCATCAGCTTCCATCTAGTCACCAGACTCATCGTCACAGACCGGCCCGCCAGTTTTTCCATTTGATTAAAATAAAATGTAAAAAGTCGAACGCTCTCTCCAGGTTGGGGGTGAGTTTATGCCTCATTGTGCATGGGTGATGATGGACTAGAGCAGGATATAAGGCTGACCATTCAGCCAAGGTGAAGTTTGCACATCTTGATCATCGAGGGCATAACTGTCAAAGTTTATGGGGGGGTTCCTAACGATGTGCGACTGGCGAACCGGAGTTCCAGTTCAGTGACGTTTACTGTAAGAAGCCCCTCATTCTGCCTCACACGGATCTCTGAGTGGCACATGGCAGCATGACACATCTGCATTCCAGCTGTTTAATCCGCTTGATATTTCACCGGTTTGTTGATTTTGGCTCTTTTTTTCATTCTTGTCATCATTTTTTAATGCTTTGTTTCATTGTTCAGCTTTTTTCAGTTTCTTTTGGTGAAAAAAAAAAGTGGCAATCATGTATGAGCCGCAAGGGTTTCTTGTCGTAAATGTTTTGGTTTTTTTGGGGTGGGCCCTTAGAGATCCTAGTTAAAGTTGTTTTTAATGGAAAGTTGGATAGTTCTCACAGGCACTTACCATGCCGCTCTCGTCCACGGTAAATAACAAGCAAATGCAGTCCAAATGACTCCCCTCGATAAATGCAGCGGTCGTTACCAATCTCTTGAAACAGGCTCCTGCTCTCCTGTTGCTCCGCCGTTCACTGATCATTAAACGTTATAAATCAAGCCTCAAGGGGCCTCACAATCTCCACGGCGTCTCTGCGTCGAGTCTTTGGAACATCGACTTAAATCGGGAGGAACTTTCCAGAGGAGCTTAGTGAAAGAGCACAGAAAAAGGGAGCTCACATCTTCACTAGAATACCGGTCACACCCGGATTTATTTGCGTCGAGCAGCCGAAATGTCAAGCAGATTCAGATTCAGCAGATTCAGGCAAGGCTGCTGAAAGCCATTGGTAAAGATGCAGATCGACGTAGCCACTGTTACAACGAACACAATCCCACTTGCACCCGCTCAAATCTAATACAGCCAGGGGAAAGTGAGGGCAAATTCGGCGACATTGTGTGTGTTAGAAATTTCAGACTAAATTCAAAATGGTTCTGTAGTTGAAATCATTGCATTTGGTCAGAAAGGTACAGCAAGGGAGCAGTTCCTTTTTCTGCCGTCACGAGTGGAAGATCCAGAGGTGCTCTTGCTTTCTCTGCTTCTGAGATCACATAAAAAGACTTAAGTGAGGGGAAAGCTGTCCTCCGGTCTGGCCAGAGCTTGTCCGGAGTGGAACTCAGCTAACGGTTTAAAAGCCACTATCATGCCTGAGTGGCCCGCACATTGTACGGGGGACACCGATCATTTTGAAGAATATAAACAGGTTCTGAGACTCCTCTCCCAGAGGGCCTAACAAGTTTCAGCAACACGAGGCACAACACTTTTCTGCACATATTACGGCTGAATGCCTTCGAATTAACAGGCCAGGTATTGATGTGCCCCTACTGCCAGGAGATGCAATATGAGAAGAAGAATATCTTTTTAAAAAGTGTTCCACTCTGGGGCTCCGTAATTATTCTCCTTCATTAATCCGCTTTGTTTTTCCTCAGGTCGTTCTTAGAAATCTCTTGATAAGTTCTTTGTATTCTTGACTCAAGCTCAACTTGAGAAACGATACTGGATGTGAGTTTAAAATCCTTCACTAAGTGTATCTCTCTCTGTGTTTGTTGCCCAGAAAGCGGACGATCGAGAGAAGAGGCAGGAAGCCCACCGTTTCCATTTCGATGCCATGTGAAGGGGACAGAGCGGCTTCTTGGAAGAACATCCAGCCACCCCCTTCTCCTCGTAACATTCATTTCAAGGGCCAATAAACGGATCCCCATTTGCCCCAAAACGTTTTCTTTTGATATTTTTTTTTTTTAGTCCCAGAGTCAGATGTGAAATATTCATGTTCCGTTTGATTTATTCATTCCAGTGATTGAAGCACAGGAGCCGCAGAAAGGCCACAGAGACACGGAGAAATCCTGACGGAGATCATGCCCGAGTTCAAAGAAGAGATATCTTTGGACTCACTGCAGTTTGCCGGCGCGATCTTCAGCCGGATTTTTTTAGAATAGTTTGTCGATTAGGCAGAGATCATTGGTGAAACGGCTGGCCTGTACCAGCTAAAACGCGAGCTCCTTTTTTTTATTTGTCGGATTAAATTAAAACCTCTCTGGTATTCTGTATTGAAATGTTAAAACGTTAACTTGAAATCTGCACGTGCGCTACAGACCCCGGTCCATGTGAAATTCCCTCCCTTCAGGCTTCCTCTTCTGATCTGAATTGTCTTTCACCGATGTCGGCTTTCAACTCGCAGCGGCAAAATGGAGGGAAATGAACAAAAGTGGACGCGTGCGATGCATCAGCGAGGGGCATTGTTCCGCTCGCAGTCTCACCCAAAAAAATGATGAAAGGCCCTCAGGTCTGCTGAGTGCAAATCCATCTTCTCACTGGGCCGATGGTATCACGGCTCAGCCCGGGAGTGCCAGGAAATCTTCCAACCCTTCAAATGTGCGAGGCTTGCTGCGTCAAGGCCGAGCGGGTGGTCCAAAACCTGAGGATCCACGCCGAGTCTCACTTTGCTTTTGCTCCAGTTTGGTTAAAAGCGTGGGTTTGATTTTATCGTCCTTTAAAACTCAGTTCCCTCTCCGAGCAATGAGATCATGCCAGCCCATCTTGTTTGCACTTTTGTTTTTTTAAACTACTGATTAACTGTGCGTGTATGTAAATTATTTCATTTTGTGGATTTATTTTGCTAATGAATGTTCAAGCTACTAAATGTGTTTACTTACTGACTTTTAGAATAAAGGGTCTCTTCTGCTTAAGTCAACTCTGCATTGTTCGGCCTCTTATTTACTATTGTTTTGTCCTTCCAGCTCCACTGTGAAAATGTCTTGTTTTCCACCAGGCTTACTGAGGTCCTGTGTAAAAACTGTACTGTGTTGTGTGTTTCAGAGACAGTAGGGTAAAAAGTCAAACTGAAAAATATGATCATGTGTAGGGGCTATGCACTGGCATTTGCTGTCTAAATAACGTAGGATGCGCGGCAGGAGGGAAATTAAATGGTTTTTCATTTCTCCAAAAGACCCCTGGAGGCCGCTTTGAGCATCTCTTGGGGCCCGGCGCCCCACTTTGCGATCCAGCCCGCTAAATAATGCATGCAGAGAGGGGGAACCTGCCCCTCTCCGCAAATGAGAGAACGATCCTCCGAGGCGTGGTTGCCTTTAAGGAGGTCGGTAGCAACTGATTGCCAGGCACGGGTGCGTGTTTTAAGATGGAGAGGCGGGAGGTGGTGCGCGACAAACCCGCGTTAAGCCGCGCGGAGGAAGCAAAGCCGGAAGCGCACGTGTGGCCTAAGCAATAAAAGCGCATTAAAAAATAAAATAAACGGACCTCAAAGTGAACAGGAACCTGGTTTCATCATAATGTGATCGTTACATTTTTCACGCTTCCATTAAAAGCGCCTCTCTCTGCTTTACCGAGGACGCACCAAAAACAGCATATGATGGTCGATTGGACTGTTTTAAGTCACTTGGTTTTAGGTTTGCTCCCATTTGCAGACACCCTTATGATCCAGCATTCTAGTCGAACTTAAAGGATGTCCGAATTGACCACTTGTCCCTCCGGGTTTCCCCGTTGTCTTTTTCTATGCCGCGCCACAAGTTTGCAAGCGTCAGAGAGAGATTGGAGCTGTAACCGGAAAAGTGATTTCTTGGCTCTAACTTGGCGAAAGCTCACGACAAAGCTACTCACTGATGTGAGCGGCACGAGGGGCTTAAATCAGCCTCGCTCAGGAGCGTTTTCTCAGTTCAGACGCGGACGCAGCGCACAGAGACTGTCGCTCCTCGTCTTCCTCATCTCTGACACAGCGCCCGCTGTCTCTCTCTGCCCCTCCTCCCTCACTCTCTCTCCCTCTCCCCCCTTCTCTCTCTTTCTCTCTCTCTCTCTGTCGATTATCCACCCGTCTGCGCCTTTTGGATAGCCTTCCAGCCTCTCCAGGCGCACCATCCCGATTTGGATCAGTCCTTCCTCCGCATGCCATCTCCCGCGTGGTCCGGCTGAGGGCAGCTCTGACCGTTAGGATGCCCGGCTGACAGCCTCTCAGCATAGTCTACAGCCAAGCATCCCCCCCTTCCCCCCCAAAAAAGAGCTCGGTGCCGTCCAGAGTCTTCCAGTAGCGCAGCTCCGCGTAATGGATTTACCGGTGTCGCGTAAAAGTTGGATTTTTTCACATTTACTGAAGAACCTCGTGGACTCCGCGCAATGAACAGAGTAAGAGGACATTTTTAGAGGGGAGCTTTGGAATCAAACCGCAAGAGGAGATGCACAGAGGTGAGTTGGACACGAGCTGCTCTGTGGCGCGCGTCGCGTTCCGCTCATTCACACGCACAGTTGATTCAAATCCAGAATGAAACGTTTCTGCCTTTTTTTTTATATCTCACACTTTCTTTCTTTAATTCAAATCTCGGTTGATGCTTCCATGTCAGAAGGTAGTGTTGGTTTCACAAAGCTGCCACAGAGGAATTCAACATATCGACATTTTGTCAATGCGTAAAGGGGCCATCCTTCTTTCTTTCTTTTTTTATTGCGTGTTGTTTGTCTGAAACTAGCCCCGACGGGATTTATCTGCCTCTTTTATGGGCCACATTTGCATCCCAACTCCCGATCCACCTGCCGGGTCCAGTAGTCCGTTTTCTGCCCTGCTGCCACACAGCTCCTTCTCTGGTTTGCTCGATGTCAGAAGAGAATGGGGGAAAACAGTCAAGATTCAAATAGTCATCACGGTAAACGTCTGTTTTAGTCACCAGTCAATAAAAAGGGATTCGTTCCTTTTTATTAGGCTACACCCTAACGGTCCAACGCTGACATATTTCACCTTTAACTAGACTAAATGGACCGAATCCAGAGAGGTCTGTTGGGTTCCTCGGTTTGTGGAACGCGACTGAGAAACATAGATTAAATACTATGTAAAATCCATAAAGGGGCGAAAAAATCCACCGGGGATCATTACGAGTTTAAAAACGGGGATTAAAACGTTTTCTTCCATTAAGAGGAGACTAACGGCCTTTGCCACGGTTCCCCTCGAAAGAGTCCAGAAGGGGGGCAAACGTGTGGAGTAAAGCGCCCGAACTTCACACAATACTGACATTGTTTGGTGCTATATAGAGAAAGGGATTGAGTTATCCTCCGACCTAAGCCAAAGAACCGCTTTAAGTTAAAAAAAATATATATATATTTTTTAAAATAACAGACTAAAACCCGTTGCTCCTCGAGCAACCACCGCTCGCGAGCGCGCGCGCGCGACTTGCGCCGCTCCGGTGACCCCGCTCCGACCACGGTCTCGCGCCACCGGCAGCACCCGGGGCTCCGGTCCACAGGCACAGCGACGGCGCGTCACCCGTCGAGCCGAGCGCCTTTATTCCTCGACATTAAGGCTCGCTACCGACGAGGTTTGACCGTATGTAATGCTTCACACAATGCATATTCGTAGGGCTATTACACGTATAATGGCCGAAGGAAAATATTCAATTTAGCTTAATTGGCTAATTGTCTGGCTAGCTTAATTAGCTGCCCTCTGGCCCCTTATGCTAAGCTACCGAGTGCACGGTGGGCCGTTGCTCTTCCTTTTCACCGTGTTAATTGGTCACTTTGCCGGAGGGACACCTGTGCGACGATTCGTGGCGGAGTCGTCTAATCAGCCAATCACGCGTGAGCAGTCTCGAAGCACCCGGAAATACCCAAACCAGGATCCCCGGGGGTTTCTTATCAGGCATCCGGACCCAGGAAAGTTTGGGTTTACGTAACTGTGAGTGATTCGGTGATTATTATTGGGGACCACCCCCCCCCCACCCCTCCCCTAAAAGTGCTAACCCCTCCCCTCGGAGTTTTTGTCAACGCTCGGTTGCGGACTCCACCGCTGGAAGGATTAGAAAAAGCACCTGTTAAGGCACAACCCGCTCACCCTTGGCAGCAATCAGAAATCGGGTTCCACATCAGCTGGCTGAGAAGAACTGCAGAACTGCAAATCTGCCATAGTTGTGTGCTCACTAAAACTAGTCCCCATTTTTCTGTCTGAACCTAAAACCGGCTCTGGCAGCAACCCGGTGTTGCAGCTGGCGTTGGAGGGGCAGAGAGCGGTGTCTTGGCTCTCTTTGTGCTGCTTAATACCGATCGGTTGCGGCTGAGAGCCCAAATTCTAAGTTTATGGATCTTTTTCTTTTGCCCGTGCTCGGATGATCAGAATTACACAATCCTCAATGTGTACCCTTGGCATGAAGATGTACCACATCACAAAGCAGAGGTGCTCTCACATTTTTCCTCCTGATCTCATAATTTTCCAGATATGAATTTAGGGGAACACCTTTGGTGTGTGTTCAAAGCAGCTGCTGGAGTGATTTGATGTGATTTTTTTATCAACTCAGAGCAGATTTTTTAAAGATATTTTTTCAGGCCCTGATCTGAAATAATATGGTGTTACTACCGGAGTGCTTTGTGTCAGCATATTATTAGTCCTCTATTTTGGTGAACTGTTGTTTAAAAGTACATAAAGTGCTCTCTTGTAGCCTACAAGCAGCTAGTGTTTGTCATCTATGGTAACATGGACTGGCAATTTAAGCCTTTATTACAGCTCTTTGCCACAATCCCATATTTAACCTTACTTGTAAGCCTTTTTGTTATAGGAGTGGTTGAAAAAACAACAAAAATCTTTTCAGATCGCCAGTTAATTATCTTTTCTTTGTGAACCTTTCAAGCAACCGTGATGCCTCACACAGTGTTTACAAAACCTGAAGTAGATCTCTTCATGCTGAAGTGGCAGTGGCTGCAATCCTGTTTAGCTTGCGGCTTGTTTACAATCTTACAAAATATCTTACAACTGCCCTCATAAATTATGCAGCGTCTGGCTAATAAGATAACTTCAGTATTTATGAGTGTGACGGCGTCCCTCGTCAGCTCAGCGTTCATCGCTTTCCCAGGTAAAAGCATTCCTGCTGATTACAGCGTTTCTTTTAAAGCATGTTTGGTTAGCATCTCCAAAAGATGACAGGACTTCAATTTCTCACCGCTCACAGCTTTATTGTGGGCAGCCGCTGCATTATGCAACGTTAGGTTATGGCTTTTTTTATGCAGAGAACGGTTTCAGTGGAAAGTTCTTTGAGGGCCCCAAGCTCCTTTCTGTTATTTGGGTTTGAATTTGGGTGGTCTGTTCTTAGAATGTGCCTGGGGTGGTTCATTCTTCCACCTGTGACACTTCACTGTGAGATAATGGAGCAGGAGCTGATGAGGATCTTGAAGGCTGCCGGCTACAAGTCTGTGTGCGTTTGAAAATGAGCCCATTCAAACGTGCATGGTCACTGGTGCGGTTTTGTTCAGGGCTTGCTTTAACAATGCTTTCTCTCTTTCTCTCTCATTAGACCCCTGCCTTCCTGCTCTTTCTTGACACTTTCCCTCTTTTTGTCCTGCCCTCCCTTATTCCTTCATTCCTTCTTTGGTGCTTTTCATGCTATTCAGACACTCTAATTCATTGCGAGCAGGTCAGACTGTGAGGAACTCAGTGGGGATCTGATCTACAGCTGCTCATTGGACTAAGATGGAGTCAGGGGCTGGAAAATGCATATGTCACTGTACCACAACATGTTGCATTGATTATCTAAAACCATGTTCTGTCACGATGTAAACCTCAGAGCCTGTTTATTTCTGCAATCTCTGTATGGCTTTGGCTTAACTTTGTGGTCTGTGATTGAGTTTAGGGCTTGAAATTGAGCTTTTACAGGTTCTCAAATGAATAATTTAAACAAAAACTTAACTTAAATGAACAGGCCAACTGTTTTCCTACACACGAGACAAAAAGTTCGGCTCTTATTCAGTATCGATTGTTCCCTTTACAGATATTTTGTTTTACATATAAATGTTAGACGGGGGCATTTTCACTATTTTCTCTCATTTTGAGACCTGCAGTGACCAAAAATAATGTGGTAGATATCTGGCAGATTCATCAGAGGGGAAGATAATTGCTGCTTGCAGCCACAGTTCAGCTTGATGAGTCCTGTGAAATGGAGCCAAAAAAAAAGAGAAAAAGGAATAAAGTAGCAATAACATTAAAAAAATGAAAAGGAGGGTAGAATGCCAAATATTGGTGATTTAATGCACACGATAAGTCTTCTCTCCTTGTCTGTGATTTACGCTGACAGCAGTGTTTTGCTATGTTGAATGCATCCCACGTTTTTTTTTATAAAGGCTGTGCTTTCCTGATATGGACCTGATTATTATTATTAGCTCACAGAGCTCTTTTTATTTTGTTAAACTGAATCGAAGATGGATTCAGAAATTGTATCGATCCACATGTTGCTTGCCATTCATCAGAGCTAATTGAGATCAGTTCTGCTGCTAATCTCATATATATATATTTATGTGTGTCCTTTGGCTGTTGATAGGTGTTGTTCTGATGATTGACAATCATGTATACCTCACCTGAGACTAATGTGTTACATCTCTTTTTTCTTTATAGTGTGGATAGTCTTCTTTCTAATAGAAGAGGGTTTTGCTCTCGCACAAAGGACTAAAGGTGAGCCTCAGCACAAGTGCTCCTCGTTTGTGGTCCTGTTGTTTCAGCCCTTCTGAACCACTCTGAAATAATGATGCATCTGAACTTGTGTCTTAGGATACTAACTATCGTTTTGAACCCTTTTATTTGCTGCCCCCTTATTTTCCCCAAATGCCAACCCCATTCTCCTCACCATCCAATCATTCCCTCATTGATTCCACGGGCTCAATAACCCATCTGTCCCTCCGTTCTGTCCCTCTCCGCTCACAGATTCCGTGGGTGATCCCGGAGGCCAGAGCCCTAACCAAAACGAATGCGGCACCTGGGTCCGTAACATCAACGGTGGGGTGTTCATGTCGCCAAACTACCCCAACACTTACCCACCCAACAAGGAGTGCGTTTACATCCTGGAAGGTGAGTCCAAGCTCAGTTCAGTAGCATCAGAACAGCAGACAGTTCTCCACCTATCAGCATACCGCCTCCCTCTGTGAATGTCTGTAGTCGGACTGACACAGTTTTATATAACCTTGCGCGGATCTGGTTTTCTGTTTCATAGCTGGCGGGCAATCAGCTTGACATTTTCCGAATGAGCCATCCTGACTTTGTCTCATTGCACAGATACAGCCCTTTGAAAACTGATAGAGACTGGCACTTATTGTGTACCCCCCCCCACCCCGAATACCGGCCTAATCCAAACGCCGCTCTTTTCATCTCTATTGGCAGCGTGTGCCTGAAGATTTGGTTATTAAAGGATACAAAGAAAAAAAGATGAGAATCTACCTCACTAACTGGGCTTTAGTGGCACATCACAGATTGTAAGCATCCTCCTCAGATTTAGTTGAGCAGAAACACCACATCCCTCAGTAATTTGGTGGCCCGCTGTTCGGGAAACATGATGAAAAGCATCATTAGCAGCTATAGGAGATGAGGTCTGGTTGATGTGTTTTCTGAATTGATGAACTGTTTGTCCATGAAGTTAAAGTACAGCTTTTCATGATGAGACGCGCTCTCGGTATGGTGGATTTCACACACAGCTCGAGGGCTCCCCCTGTGGACAAAGCAATCCCACACCTGTTTTTTGACAAATAAGCAGTGACGCCGGCAGAGACGGCTCTCGTGTGTGCGGTGGCACGTCACAGAGGGCCTGGCACACAGTGGATGGAGCTTATCATTTGTTATTATTTGGTTCTGAAAGGCCTCGGCCATCCTCGCGTCACAGCTTAAATTGTGAGCCTTTTATCCAGTATCACATGGAGGCAGAGAGAGGCTCACGTTTAGTATAGGAGCTAATCAAATAGCTTTGTAATCATAATTTGCAGTTAGCGAGGCTCATTGATTGTGTCGTGTCCCTGAGTTCATCAACTAAATAGACTGAGTGATTATACATTCTGCCCTTTCTGTGTCAAGCTGTGTCATTTGTGTGCGAGTCCACGTGCGCGCGTGTGTGGTATCCAGAGTGCAGATTAAACACGGCAGGGGACGAGCACACACAGAGCAGGAAGTGCCGACATACAAGATGCTCACTCAGGGGTTAAATTCAAAGGCAGGACAGAAAATAAAATCAGTCAAAGTCAGTTATTTTGTTGTGTGTGTCCTAAAACACATAGCACTTAGGACCTGCACACATTTGGATTTTCTTGACAGAAGGACTGGTGAGCTACCGGTCATGCTGTGCTTGCAATTTCCTCCATTCACAACAGGAGACAGGCGGCATGTCAGACTGCGTCTGTTCGTGCTTGTCCATGTTCTTTAATGGGTAAAGCTGTGCATACCAGCACAGCTCACCTGTAATAACTGTGCAATCATGAAGCCTCTGGGTTTTGGCGTTTTCACTGCTTCTGAACTGCGCAACATTTAAAAATGCCCCGGCTAACACATCCTCAGCTTCGGAACGCCACCCAGATTAACTTAGTCTTACAGAGAAGGATTTAATCATATCCTTTTCATGGATTTTTCCTCTCTTTGTTTCCCATCTCTCCCATGTTTGCCAAAGCCCTTCCTAGACAAAGGATTCAGCTGGCTTTTGATAAGAATTACTACATCGAGCCTTCGTTCGAGTGCCGCTTTGATCACATCGAGATACGCGATGGTCCTTTTGGGTTCTCGCCGCTCATCAATCGCTTCTGTGGGGGAAAGAATCCAGGCCTGGTCACCTCCACAGGACGCTTCATGTGGATCAAGTTCACCAGCGACGAGGAGCTGGAAGGCCTCGGCTTCCGCATCAAATACACCTTCATAGCAGGTGGATTCTTTTTCTTTTTTTCTTGTCTTTATCTGGGCGGTAGACCTCAGACTGTGAAAGCTCATTTCTGTACACATCAAAGGTGTTGAGAGATATGTGGAGAAGTGGAACTGATTAGACCAAAAATATGACAAGAAAATCAGGTTTTTGTGTGACTGAGATTTTTCTTTTCTTTTCTCTTGTTGGCTGTCATGTTTGTTTTTTATGACCGACCTATAAGGTTTCATTTTCCTGCTTTAGAGCTCAGCTTCACAGCCATATAAATCTAAACCTCAGTAGGCCCAGAAATAGGTGTTTCCCATCAACCAACAGATTAAGAAACCCATCTCTGCCTCATCTGGCCTGGCTTAATGAGATCTTATCTAGTTGTTTCTGTTTACCCGTTTCTCCTCTGTGAGTAATGTGCCTCCTGATTTTGATCATTGCAGACCCTGATTTTCATCTGCACGTGGGCGGACTGCTGAACCCTATCCCAGGTAAGCTCTGCTGTTACCTCCATGTGTTTTGTGTCCGATCCATTTTTTTTATTTTGTTCCCCCTTGTCCTGTTCAGCATCATGGCATAGCTGTGCCAGACAGATTAACTTTTTCAGCAAGGGCCCCTGGCACCTATATTTGTAAAGCCTAATTTGCTACCCAACCCTTGAGGGTTTATTTATTGTTAGTGCGTTACGTACATTTGGATGCCAAACATGACTGGGGAGAGAGAAAGGAAGACAGAGAGAGGGAGAAAGATAGAATGGAGGGGGGGGGCATATAAAAGAAACAACACAATCGAGTCCGACAACCAGCTGCTATCAAACTGCTCCTGAAGCATCCGTGAGGAAATCTGGAGGGAGACCTTCACGAATACCTGTGGAGAGACAAAACTAGCGGACAACAAAACACTGACAGCAAAAACATGTGCAAGTGTGATGTAGGTTGTTACATGGACTGTGCTCAGCACAGTGGGTACAGAGGGCCACTCCCCCTGCCGCATGCAGATGCACTTTGACATGCCCACAATCGAACGTAAAGTCAAAGGATGTACATATTCATGCATGCATGAATTTCAAACCCATTTCAGAACTCAGACCTGCACACTTTTTGCCTTTGTTCCTCTGTCCACTTGTCCTTTTTGCAGGTGCTTTGTTCTCTTCAGTCCAACCTTAAATCCTCATCACTACCTAATAAAATCTGTACTCCCGTCTGCTGTAATGTTCTGTAACCGTTTTATCTTTGTGTTTCTTCCTTACCTTTTTTTTTGCCATCTCCATTTTGCTGTAGACTGTCAGTTTGAAGTCGGCGGATGGGATGGGATTATCCGCTCCAGTCAGGTGGAAGAGGAAGATCGAGTGAAGCCCGGTGACGCTCTGGACTGTATCTGGACCATCAGGGCTCCTCCTCAGTCCAAGGTCAGTAAAAAAGGGCCATATTGGTCAGCTCTACAAGCTTCGCCTCTGTGTGCTGATAAAGCAAGCGTGTGGTGCTTTTCAGAAGGAAAAAGAGCTACTTGTCTGATCCATGTGATGAGTCATCCTCAGCGTTATTATATAATCTTCAAACAGTCTTCCGACTGTTTTTTTTCCCCCCCATCTATAACTCCTGTTTCTCATCATGATAAGAGCTCATTCATATTTTCATATTGGTCATAAATGTTTTCTAGATTGTCTAAATGACAGGGAAAAAAACATTTCAGATTCTTTACAACATTAAAGTGTCACAAATAAATAAATAAAAATCCCATTTCATTACACGCAGTCGATCTCAGAGTAGATATACTGCATCAGCCAGAAAAAAAACAACCTCAGAGTAAAAATGATTGAGAATTTTACCGTGAAAACTGGCAGAACTGATGCAGGGTGTTACTCTGAATATGAATCAGAACACAGCACGGAATTTCTACATAGTTTCAAAGCAAACTCTGAACTGTAATTCTGCTCATCTTCAGTGGGATTACTCCTACACCTCAGCTCAGGGATGCGACTGTTCTTACAACAGTAATATTTCGGCTCTGCAGCAGGAAATCTGATCCCTAACCTATTCTGTACCTGTTTGTCGGTAGAAGTGGAGCAAATATCACCCTGTAATGTATTTCTGTGTTTTTAGGTAATCAATTTTAACTACAGCTGAATCGGCAAATTCATATCAGAAATCAAATATTTACTAAAGAATTTGAACGCACTCATTCTGCTGCTACCAACCAGCAGATTCTAAGTTGCTGATTGGCTTTAATATTTCAAAATGTTAAAAATACCAACCTAATTATGTCTGCAGTAAAATTAAAATTAAAATCTCCTGTTTTTGTGACTTAGGCAACACAATGTGTCTTTCATGTACTACATTCTTATCTAAATCTGTTTCCATATTTTTTCTCCCTTTGATGTCATATGACACTATTTTCATGATAAAACTGTCTGTTCTCACTTTAGACAGAGCAGGAAAGCACCATGTTGTAGAAAAGGCAGTGCTGGTGAATTCCACGTGGAAAAGTAAAGCCCTGGAGATTCTGCGAGGTGTTTCTGAGCCAAGTGTGAAATTGCAACCGCAGCATTGCCGGTCCCTATTCTTTGCTTCTCTGTGTCTCCCTTGTGGATGCGTGAGCCATCCCCACTCCCTTCACTGTTCATTGGCCCCAAAAATCAACAGGGATGAGTCCACATCTTAAATAATCTTCACACCACAGATGCACTGGCGTTACATAATGAAGCGTCACGTCCTGTGTGTGTACAGCTGCCTGCTTTTATCGTTGGTTCACAATACCCACGATTATCATATTCATGATAATATGCGATGCATAGGGAAACTTTTATGCGTGGCTTCTACCACTTTCACACAGACATGAGTCATTTAGTCAGTCCGACGTGCCCTGCAAGGCGGCAGCGATGATGATGATGATCTAGCAGAGGCGAAGGCTCGTTTTCTGGCCAGAAATGAGCTCAGTGAAGCAGAAAGAACAGAGCAGCACACTCAGCAGCAGCAGCAGCGTCTTAACTGCTGCTTGCTTACAGGTGTGTGTGTGTGTGTGTGGGAGTAGGGGGTGACGGAGGGCGCTTAATGTGCTGACTTCTCATCAGAGTTGTTTCTCTGCCCGTTCAAGATTTTATCGCATCATCTCTGCTGATATGACATTTGTTTCCTAATTACTCCAGGTGGAAACTGAGACGGAACACAGTGTGTGTGTGTGTCTTCTCACGGTAATTTATGAGTTATGGCGTCTGCCTCTCGTGGCTGCGTTGGACATTATTAACGCTATTAGTCACCCCCATGCCTCTCTCACACCGCTGTGAGACCTCTCCCTTGCAGCTGGACACAGACTCAAAGTCAAGTCGTGTTGCGAAAGACGTACAGAGTGAGGAGCAGGACGGGAAAAGATCAACTCCTCAGTGTTTCGGTCCCGTATCAGTATTCTCTCTCAGTTCCTGCTGGAATAATAAGAAAGGAAAACGTTTGGAGGATTCAAATCTCTAATCTTCACCCCTTCTACCTTCTCTACCACGTCCGGCACTTTCAGACTGACCCTTCTATGTAGCTGACCGTCTGTTTGTGGCAGTATTTTATAGCATAGAATGAGATTTGTATTTAATAATGTTCTTTTATCCTTGCGTTTACGGGGCTCTGCTATTTTTTTCTGCGTCTTCTCATTATCGGAATTTCAGCACATTTAGATGCAATGAGTTGGCTTTGCTGATTTGGTGTGTATTTCATGCTTTCACTCTCATAGAAAGTACATTAAAGTTTATGGTTTGACAGCTGTGGGGGGGAAGTGATGAAGTAGGGCTGTGAGTTTCATTTGCCTCCAGACATATAAATTCAGCTCCCCTGTGTGTGCGTGTGTGTGTGCAGATCTACCTGCGTTTCATAGACTACCAGATGGAACACTCAAACGAGTGCAAGAAGAACTTTGTGGCCGTGTACGATGGCAGCAGCGCCATCGAGAACCTCAAGGCCAAGTTCTGTAGCACCGTAGCCAACGATCTGATGCTGGACAACGGCGTGGGAGTGGTGCGCATGTGGGCCGATGAGAAAAGCCGACTCAGCCGCTTCCGAATGCTCTTCACCTCTTACGTTGACCGTAAGTGACCATCTTACTCTACATTTTTTTCCCACAGGTGTCAGATAATCTCTTTTATACACAGGGCTCAAACTCTCTCCTCAGCAACCATTGGCAGGGTTCAGAGTCCTCGTAAAGAATGATTTTTTTTTTTCCGGTTTTATTTCAGTTTCCTGAGACTTTTAGCACAATCTAACTCCACGCAGAGATGTCGTCACCCTTTTATAATGCCTACAGTCTGCCAGCTGCCACATCGCCCACCAACACAAAGACAGACACAACAGCGGTTAATTTATGAGCTCCTGAAATGCGTTTGCATCAGTAGCCACCAACAGACACCGAAGTGCCGTCTCAGCGAGAAAGGCTAATTACCTTGCGCCACGTTTAGAGCACAGATATAAGAAAACCAATTATTTTCTCAGCATTTTTTGTAAATAACTGAGAGAATCAAATCATTATTTTTTTTAATCGCACCGTCACTGCATCCCAACGTGCTTATGATAGGTCACTCCCCGCAGGAAAATAGACTTTTCTTTTTTTCCTGTCTTAGTGGGGAGCGGGGTAGTGTTGTGGCGGTTAGCACCGATGTCGCAAAGCAAAGGGGGTTCCTGGTTAGAATCCCCGGTAGGAGAACAATCGGCTCTGTCCGGGTACTCCAGCTTCCTCCCACAGTCCAAATTGTCCCCAGGTATGCGCGTGAGTGTGTGTGGCTGTTTGTTTCTATGTGGCTCTGTGATGGGTGCACCCCACTCAACCAATCCCCCCTGCAACCCTACTAGAACCCATCAATGTTTTGGTAAAAGCTGAAGCCCCGTAGGGTTAACAGATACTCTGGCAGGAATAGAATAAAAAAATCTTGTTGTTTTTGTTTGGTTTTCTTAAAGATGCGGTTGAGCCTGAAGTCGCAAGGAATTGTTAATAAGAAAAACACCTTCGCTCAACACATTAATATTTCCACTGAATGCCTGAATAAGCTGATATATTAATAGTCCCTGGTTGAATGCTAATGTTGTTTTCATCACTAAAATCATGACCATCACAGCCACAATTTAATAGCTTTTTATTCTCTGAAATTCCATGAGATTATTCGGGTCCTCGTTAATTCGGATCACACGGTTCAACTCATAGAAGTAAAAAGACTTAGAGATAACTCTCAAACTATCTTTGGGCAGTCAGTGACCAGATCGCAGTTCTCTGAGAAGGTCAGAGAGCCATTAGTCTGTGTCGCTCAGAGACCAACTCCATCATCCCTAATGTTCGCTCCTGAAACGTTAGCCAGACGCATTAGGGCTGTTTTTAACTACACTCACACCTGCGCACACACACTTCATATTTTGGATGTTAGCTTTGTCCTTGTGTGAGTGGGTGTCTGCGTGGTGGGAGGATGAGCGTACGAGAGTGAATTACTGCTGACAACCTCCGAGAGAGAATACATTTTGAAAGTGGGAGACACATAATCGGTTTGGAAGTGATCGAGGTGTCGGGGGGGCGGCCCCATCTGCAGGCTCACGGGGACACAGACGAGCACGCTTCGGAGTGCACGTACACACACCCGCACACTCGTTCTTATTTGCCGCCTCACCTACATGCTCGTGTACACATCCCTTTGTCAAAGTCGTTTAACCCAGAGGCAGGGGAAGCGAGTGAGGAGAGGCGAGTGGAGGCTCAGGGCCCTCGTCGCAGCAGAGCTCATGGCAGGGGTGTAGCAAGTGGAGCAAATCGCAGTCGGCCTCAGTTCTGATAAAGACTCAGAAAGACATTTGTTCTGCAGTGAGGTCTGCCTGTGAAAAAAAAGGGGAAAAAAATACAGGTGGAACATTTTTTACTTAGCGGGGATAGAATTTGGAGGAAAGGGCAAGCCACGAGGGGCAAAGCATGAATGTATTGCGAGACTGGTGGGGAACAGCTGTCCTCAGACCAGGGGAGAGGGTGTCGAAATGTACAAATGAGTAAGTTCTCATGAGTGTGATCTCAGTAAATCAAAGTTCACTAAGAAAAAATGCAAAACATAGCAAGAGAAGCCAAAAAAATAAGCAGATTAAAAGAAAAAATGACATCTCTGAAAGATCTGATTTCAAGAGGTTAGCACATCATCACATAAAGTGGGGGGGGGGGACTCCACCAATCCGCAGTCAGACTGTGTACAAACGGAGCTCTGGATCATCTCTAAGAAACACTGAGTGCACCAACGTGGGAATTCTGGGCAAATATTGATGTTGACGGCAGGCTGAGTGGAGAACGACTCTGCTCTCCAAAAAGAAACATGGAGGCCTGTCTGCTGCTTGTCAAAGATTGCACGTTGAATCCAGGAATCTGCTGCGGGGGAAGGATTTGTGAGGACATCCGAGATAAAAATGGGGCCCACCGGTTAGATCGGAGTCAATGCGTTTGGAGAATGGGAACATGGCAAAAAAAAATAAGGCAGATATTCCCCAACGGCCAAGTCGGTCTTAAAAAGCTTTTAAAGGATTTGAAATGAAGAGGTCATGTGACGAAACCCCCCAAAGTCTTAAATGGGAGCGTGCTTGTGCTACGTCTGATTACTCAAGTGTGTAATTAAAAACAGGGGAAAAAGAGCATGGGGTTTGGGGATCAAATGGGGTGTGCGGGTTTTTTTTTTTTTTTTTTTAACGTCAGCCAGTTACACAATGATCGAGATTTGCATTAGATTTGCACCTTTTCCCCAGACATCAGCACCCCCCATGGCCCCGTTCATACTCCAACTGTTTAATGGGGTCGGCCTCACCTGCCTGACCACCAACAGCCGATGATGTGTGATGTGGTTTCAGCCTTTGTTTTCATCCTCTCCACCGTCAGAGTCGTCCACCCTTTGACATAAGGGCTGCAGCTGAGTGGAGCTGCCACCTTCTCGTGTTGCGTCTGCAGGGAACGATGATGGATGGCCTCTTGGGCGGCCCCAGCTCGAGCATTTCGAGAAATAAGCGGGTGTTTCACCCTTTGTTAACGGCCTCCAGCGATTTTTGACACCCGGAGTGTTGTTCTGTTATCCCCGTGATCCTTTATTATCGTCAGCCGAACACATGCTGGTTGTTTTTTGTGGCGTATTCGTCTTTTACTCAACACTGTTAGGCAGTTGTTTTCCTAAATTCCATTATCTCTGTCTAATGTCTTTTGCCTGCAGCTCCCTGTACATCCAGCACATTCTTCTGCCACAGCAACATGTGTATTAATAACTCCCTGGTGTGCAACGGGGTGCAAAACTGTGTGTATCCATGGGATGAAAACCACTGTAAAGGTGAGAAAGCCCGTCCTTCTTCACCTTCGGGGTTTTTCATTTAGCGACTTTTATCAATCTTAGGATCTTTTCCCCTCATTCCTCCTGCAGAGAAGCGATCCAAGGGGCTTTTCCACCAGATCACCAAGACCCACGGCACTGTTATCGGCGTCTCATCGGGCATAGTTCTGGTCCTCCTCATTATCTCCATCCTGGTCCAGATGAAGCAGCCAAGAAAAAAGGTACGCTCGCTCTTTAGTTTGGTAGTTTAGCTTGATATTGCAAAATATGATCAGTTAGTAATGTGATTTATCTCTCTGTCATTTTTCATGTTTGCTAAATATATATGTGCTATATGCAAAAATAGAAGGAGACTCATTTAAGTAGTTCTGGCATAATTCCTGTGCAAGAATGGTTGTTTTTTAAGGGGCGAGTGCAGTCTTTAATTGATGATTAAGCTCCTTACAAACTTACCACTAACAGTCTGAATCTATCCTCTTCTCCAAGGTTGTTGCTCGGAGGCCTGGCGTTTTCAACAAGGCCGGATTTCAAGAGGTCTTCGACCCTCCACACTACGAGCTCTTCTCTCTCCGGGACAAGGAGATCTCCTCTGACCTGGCCGACCTCTCCGAGGAGCTGGACAGCTTCCACAAGCTGCGCCGCTCCTCCACCATGTCGCGCTGCGTCCACGAGCACCACTGTGGCTCGCAGGCCTCCGTGGCCACCGGCGGCGGGAGCATGAAGCACAGCCGCACCACCCTCAGCTCCATGGAGCTGTCCTACCACAACGACTTCTCCAAGCCGCCGCCTATGAAGACCTTCAACTCCACGTCCACCTACAAGAAGAGCTGCTACGGCTACAAGCAGCACGCACAGACTCACGACTGCGACCAGCAGGTCATCGAGGACCGCGTCACCGAGGAGATCCCCTGCGAGATCTACGGGCGCGGCCCGGGAGGAGCCGCGGGCGGAGGGGCGATGGGAGCAGGGGGATCCTCGGGGATCGCCGGAGGCGCGATGGGCGGAGCGATGGGCATAAGCGGGGGAATGGCCATGGGCGGCGGGATGGGCATGGCGGGAGGAATGAGCATGGCGGGGCCAAGCGGCATCGCTGGCGGCATCGGGGGGATGGCGGGAGCCTGCGGAACCCTCAGTATCCGCGGCAACAGTGCTCGCAACAGCACCACCATAGTGGACCCACAACAGCGCTCCATGTCCATGGACTTCTAGACACAGACGGGGGGGAGAGGAAACGCAAGCTGGAATCAGACTCATCGGAAAAAAGAGAAACCCGGAGGACAGCCAGTCGGCCCCGCTTCTTCCCGAACCTCCACTCGAGCGCTGCAGGCGCGCTGACGGGACGTTGTCATCCTCGTGCCGAGGCGTGATTACAGTGGAAGGTGAAAGCTGAGGCGACAAAAGAGCAACAATAAAAAGGAAACCGCTGCCTCGTTCTGCTCCCCGGATCCCCCCTCCTCTCCCAGACTCTCCAGGAGAACCTTCTCGCACCCGGAGCTGAGACTTCTCTCTGGTCGCCCCCCCCCCTCCCTCCCCAAAAAACAAACCACTCGGACACGGCAGCGGAGGGAGAGGGTTTTTACACATAGCCATCGGCCCACGCACAAATATATGATATGCGATCTATAGCGCGTCTTCTAACGATAATTTATTTGAGTCTTTATTTTTTTGTCAAGTGTGCCGTACTGTTAAACTCAGTATATATATCTATATCCAGCCTCACGGCGACGCTTGGCTTTTTCTCTCTTTATCCGTTTCAATTGCAGCCCAGGTGATTTTCACATGTGGATGAGAAGGAAGCCCCTGTGGTCCCAGGACAGTGCCGTTGAATAAATACGATGATGTTAGAATTATAGTTCTGTAGTTTTTCCAGGCTTACCTGGCTTCACTCAGTCTCTCCTCAGGATGAGCACACAAAGAGACTATTATTTTCATAAGAAATACGGGGAAACCAACAGCTGTTTTCTTTGCTATTGTAAGCTCACACAAAGGGGTTTGGGTACTTGGACTCAATCAGGATATGGCCCATCCCAAACCCTAACCCTTAAGGAGAGAAAACATCCTTTTGTTTGTTTGTTTCCTTTTCAGTGTCCACGTGTCCAGAGTGCGTTTAACAAGCACAACCTGCTTCCGCTTAGATGGCAGACGTGTAACCTGTATGGGACTCATTCATGATTTAACCACTGGTTGTATAATTTAATTCTGTTGGATTAAACAAATGCTTACTCACACCTTGGTGTCAGTCTGTTATGTTCACTGCGCAACAAACTCTACCAGCGCACCGGAGATGTCTCTTTTAGTTATTAACAGTCCACGGGAAGTGTTTGGCCTGATATTAGCTATATATTAGATAGCTAGATATTATTATGCTTCGTGGATCATTTATTCACTGGACTGAGTGAAGTCAGGTGAGCATTCAGAATTCCAGCTTCGCATCCGTATGGTCCCGATCCGTCTCCCGTTTGAGTGAATCTTTCCAGAATTCCTCTAGATTTATCCCCCCACTAGCCCCCCAGCCCCCGTGCACACACCACAGACCCCCCCGTTCACCCTGCCGTCTGCTGTCACCCTGCATCGGTCCTGACCGAACCTCGGGCCTTTCCTTTAAATCGCACGACCTTCAGACGGAGCCGCGCGTGCGTTGTCATCTCAGACACCAGCCCGTGTCGCCGTCGGGAGGCCCGAAAAGCGAAGCCGCGTCTGTCCAGCGCACCACATCAGGGGACGCTGGGGCACAGAAATAGCGCGGGCGTTACACAAGCGAACATGACACAGGACTTCCTGCGTGCTTTCAGCTCCAGCGTCCATCAGCACCGCTGCACCTGAGGCGGGAACTCTCCCGCTGGGGCGCGGCGCCACCAGCTGGCAGACTGGCGACGTCTCTTTGTGCAACCTAAAAAAAAACCCAGGTGGTCTCTCTTTTTAAAAATGTTTTTTTTATTATTTTGGGTGCATAACCTATCTGACTTGACCTGACCCGCTGGACACACCTGTCTCTAATCAGCGATGGAGATCCTTTAACTTCCTTTGTATGAGTTGCCATGGCTACGCGCTGTTTTTTTTTTCTGTCCAAAGATAAGCCTATTTTCTTGTTTTTGTTTATCTTATTAAGTTTTTTAGTGCCAGTATCAAACTGGGCACGTCAAAACAGTTTTGAATTCACCATTAAAGGCTGCCTGAAGTTGACTTACATTATCCTAAATCCTAGGATCTTAAAAAATCTTCCTAAATGGGATCCAATTTGTTTTTGGCCTCCGCTGGATTACGACATGAGCTCTGTCGTCGTGCAGCACACCGGCCGCCAGGTGGCAGCAGTGCGCTCGAAGGAGCCCTAACTTTCCGGAAATTGAAAGGCGAGCCGAGCAAAACATTTTCAGCCGGCTCCTTCTCTTTGTCCATCCTCTCTCAGCTGAGGCAACATCTACAGCTACACCATGGCCAATGTTGTCGATACAAAACTGTACGACCTTCTGGGTGTCTCTCCGTCCGCAACTGAAAACGAACTTAAAAAGGTAACTGAACAAGGACAAGAAAATCAACAAGCTGCTGGATTTCATCACGTTTCGAGGGAGTTCATACTCGTTAAAATAGCTACAACCAGGAAATGCGTTGCTAAGCGCAGCTAGCTAACGTTAGCTGTAAATTGTGCCAGGTTACCAAACTAGCATGTGTACCGGCCTGGATGTTCCTGTGACGTTCAGGGTGTAATCTTCCTCCAAAACGGGCCTCTTTTATTCAGCTGATGAGTCGGACTTTTGTCCACTCAAATACAATGTTTAGTATACCAACTGCAGTCCTTTTTTACATAATGATAATATGCTCTCACCAATTCGTTGACCTCCCGTTAGCTTTAGCTGCTTGTCACGTTTTAAGCTAGCTAAACTTGTCGAAGGTTATGTGTATGTAGGGATATACCTTCGCCATCCGTAGCAGTCCGGTAACAACAGACATTCCGCTGACATTTGGTCTGTCGTCTGTCACTATCCTAGAATAATAAATTGACCATGTTTTTCTGAGTGCTTACATAAGACTTAGTGATGGTAGATAGCAACCAATTGTTAACGCCACCAAGTAAACCAGCGTATACATAGAATTGTATAGAATATATCATGTTTAATTACCATCTTTTACGTAACGTAATTTAATGTGAATGTTGTATTAGTATAGATGTAAACCAGAAACTGTGTGTCATATTGTGCGACGTTACCATTTTGCTAGCTACCTAGCCTCTCGACGACGAAATCTCGGTTGTTCCCGGTGTTTTATATCAGCACTGTTGTTAGGGTTAATTTCTTCTATATGTATACGTTTTTACGTTTTGGACGCAATTAATAATGGCGTAGTGTGTTGCTTCTGTCGTCCTCGTTTCTGTATTGTGTTCGCGTTGTGTCGGTAAGCTATCGACCTGTGCTAATTAGCATGGGCTTACTCTACCTAAACGTTAGCAACAACTTCGTCAGACATTTTGAGCTGCCTGTTGACATCAGAACTGGACGTTTTGTTTTAATAAGAGGTTCACGATCGATTAGTAAAAGCTGTCGAAAGAAGTAAATCTAAAAAATCGATTGAGTCGTGGCAGTTTAAGAATTAGTATCGGCTATCTTATCGGATTGTGTCTACCGGCTGTAACCGTTAATGTTGCGAAAGGCAGGCGCGTGGGGTTGTACAGCAGGTAAGCTCCCTCCGTATGTGTGTGTTTTTAGGGCTAACGTTTTAATATGTAAAAGTTAAACTGGCACACATGGCTTATTCTTCTTTGTCCCCCTAGGCATACCGGAAACTGGCCAAAGAATATCATCCTGACAAGAATCCAAACGCTGGTGACAAGGTAAGACCCCCATATATAGAACAGTTTCACAGCTTTATTTGTGTATGAGGCACAGATTACTGTCTAATATCTGTTCAGTTCAACTAAAACTCTATTGTCAATGCTAGGAAGATTCTTACAGGGCTGACTGCTGCTGAACCAGTTTTTTTCAACATCTGTCGTCTGTCTGCCCCCTCCTGTATTTTCACAGTGTGCGACATCCTCTGTTGTCATACCCTGAACATTTTTTCCGCTGATTCACAGTGGTATTAAAGCGTTATTTTCACAGGGTCAGAGAATCGCTTTTACACATTTTATGTGTGTCCATCTCATCTCTTTTTCTTCATAACAGTCATGAGTCCAGCTAACACCTCTGCTGTTAAGATTTTTTTTACTCATACTTGTGTACAGAATAAGGTATTGTGGTGGGATGATATTCAAAGGCCTGCTGTGGTTGTTTCATTGATCTACAGCCTCTCGCTTTCCCTGATGGTGGCAGTCACTGCAATACTGCCCCAGTCGTGTCAGACACTGGCATATTTGGTTTGTCCTAGTTGGCTGTTGGTCCCAGGGTAAAGGCAAAAAGTTAAACAGCCTGAAAGTACAGGATTCTAAGATGAATCCACTTTAAGAGCAGGTTAAGTTTACAGTTTGTTAGGAAAGCCAGTTGCTTTCACTATTCTAGTGGCAGTGTGTCAGGGTGGATTTGACAGGATATGAACTTTTTCTTGTCTTTAACTACCAGCTGGGATGATAATGTGCTAATGCTCCATACTGACTTCATATAAGAGTGAACCTTTTGGAAAACATTAATAAGATTGCCATGGATGAAGTTTCTAAAGTACCTTTATAGCATTTATTGAGCCTTTTTACTTGAGCGCACAAAGCCTACATCACAGTTTAGCGTGCCATGAGTCCCACTGCAAAGCGATCTAGTTCTCACGTGTTCCCTCTGTGGCACATCTTAAACGCCTGGCACTTTCCAACGAGGCCAAAAGACCTTCAGCCTCCATTGATTCTCGGCTATAACTTGGTGCAAAGATGAGAGTCCCCGGGCATCAATGGCAGGCAAACGGCTTTGCTTAAGATGAGAGTTGCTACAGCTTGACACGAAGCCGGTGGAACGACCTCGGGCTTTAGCAAAAGCAATCATTTGATAGGAATGCCGAAGGAAACGTTTGGCTCTCCTGAGATAAGAGAGGAAAAGCGGAGCAGGCCAAGGAAAGACGGGCCCCAAACTAGATTTGCCTGATCATGTTGAGAGCCACTTGTTGATCTAATGTAAGTAATAATCGGAACACAGACGCACCGTGCTCTGATAAGCTCCCCACAGCCTCAGAAATAAACGCTGGTTAGCCCGCTGGAGCCCCCGCTGATAGTGTGAAAGCCGAACCCCTGGCAAGCTGATAAGCACAGTAGAACTGCTCTGACGCAGTTAACTAAGAGGCACGACCATATAGTTCCCATACTGAGCCGTTTGTTTGTGTAGAGCGCAAAATAAGAAGCTAACAAACAGGGTAGGTTTGCTCTCAGAAACGGGAAGCCATTGGAGAAAATGACTGAAATAGCCAGCTATGAACAATTGATTTCCAGGCTGAATGATAGAGGGGAGGTATCTATTAAAATATGGGGTCCACATATGAAAATCATACGAGAGGGCTGAGTGGAGAAGCTAAGCTATTTTATGATCAGGAAAACTGGTGTTGGGGTGGAGACTGAGCATAGGAGTTGAGACTCGGGCAAAGTGGATCATGTGCATGTCGCTGTATTTATGATTTATTATTTGGTACTGACTTATGCAAATATCTCGACTATAATTTTTCACTTTTTTTTTTTTACTGTTTGTTTTTTTCTTTCTGTGTAATTATGTGGTTTTTCTTTCCTCCTTGTTCACCTACCTATTAGCATGTTGTTCCTTGCAATGTTAAAAGGCAATAAAGGGAATCACAAAAAAATCTCCTTTCTGCAACAGAGTATTAGGGCCACTCTTTTTTTGTTGTTTTTTTAAAAGAATATGCAAAAAAATGCATCTTTATTGCAGAAAGATAGATAGATAGATAGATAGATAGATAGATAGATAGAAGTCCTGATGATGCATTTCCCTTACAGGGATGTGAAAGACAGAAGTGACACTTGTCTTGGTAGATGAACTCATGGTTAGCCAGTGTGCTGCAACAACAATCCATGAAACAATGTTTTTTTTTTGTTTTTTACATCTCTGATCGTCCCCTCTCATCTCCCAATGCAGTTCAAGGAAATCAGCTTCGCCTACGAGGTCCTGACCAACCCCGAGAAAAAGGAGCTGTATGACCGCTATGGGGAGCAGGGCTTGCGGGAAGGAGGCGGGGGAGGCCCCGGGATGGACGACATCTTCTCCCACATTTTCGGCGGCGGGCTGTTCGGCTTCATGGGTGGCCAGGGCGGCCGCTCCCGGAACGGCGGCCGGAGGAGAGGCGAGGACATGGTGCACCCCCTCAAGTAAGGCGGCGTTCCCATCTGTCTCAGTTTTATCACAGAAGTCAACCAGAGTCCTTCTTTTCGTAATCGTACCACTCCCCCTCCCCACAGGGTGTCGTTGGAGGACCTCTACAACGGGAAAACGACCAAGCTGCAGCTCAGCAAGAACGTGCTGTGCAGCTCTTGTAACGGGTGAGTGGTCCCACCCGCCCGCTGCTCTCCGGAGCCGCCGCCCCCACAGAAACTAACCCGCCGTGTCTCCCCGTGTGAGCGCAGGCAGGGAGGGAAGACGGGCGCCGTCCAGAAGTGCACCGCCTGCCGGGGGCGCGGCATGCGCATCATGATCAGACAGCTGGCGCCGGGGATGGTCCAACAGATGCAGTCTGTGTGCACCGACTGCAACGGAGAAGGTGAGGCCCGCGCCGCCGGGGCTGTCCCACTGCCGGACGCAGGTCCCTTTATCTCCCGCTTCCGTTCCGTTCCCCTCCAGGCGAGGTCATCAGCGAGAAGGACCGCTGTAAAAAATGCGAGGGCAAGAAGGTGGTGAAGGACGTGAAGATCCTGGAGGTGCACGTGGACAAAGGCATGAAGCACGGCCAAAAGATCACCTTCGGAGGCGAGGCCGACCAGGCGCCCGGCGTGGAGCCCGGCGACATCGTTCTCGTCCTGCAGGAAAAGGAGCACGAGGTGGGAGCGCCCAGATGACCGGGAGACTCTTGGCTTATAACAGTTGTTCTCAAACAATTTATTCTGGTGCTTGTTTTTTTTTTTTCCATCCATTCAGCCCCAGTACTGGCTCATACTGGCATTTTATGCACCTGTGGTGCCCCCATCAGGCAGAGGGCGCCACACTTCTGTTCTTTTATCCCACACCAAAATGGAAACAGCTCCCTGTGTGGCTACCAAGCGCTTGAATATCTGAACTCATCTAAGAATAGTCCATAGAATGATTTGAAACAACTAGTTATATAACGGTTTCAGCCATCTGGCAACAGGAATATCAGTAGAAATAATAACTATCTTGAGCCGCAAGTTTCTTGTCTTGTTGTCATGCTTTCAAGAGCGTGTCTCTTTGCGTTACCAGTGTCAGACACACTCACTGGATGGGGGGTGATGCGTAGGAGGGAGGAAAAAGGGGTCAAAGGAGTGAGGGATTTTTCACAGTCAGCACATCCGCTCCCCGGCTGATACTGCCGCCTGCTCTCCGGTTACTGTTGTTTTCTTTCCACTCTGGACATTTTCTTTAGTACTCTGTGATAGGTCTGGATAGAGAGACAGAAAGGAAAAAAAAATGGATGTGCGCTTTGGCCAGCGTGTAGCTGTTGAAGCATTTGTCTGCCGGCACACTTTTGTCCCGGTCAGTCGGTCTGTGGCTGGTTGGTTAGTGTCACGCAGCCGTACCTGTTCACAGCCTCTCTGCTTCCATCCGCCACTTTTCCACTTGCCCCCGTCCCTCCCCGGTTTCTCAGCGGGGAGATCCCGGTGTAGAGCATCAGCCCTGTGATGTGCTGCACACTGGAAGCGTAACGGAGGCCAGAGGCTTGGACGTCTCTCCTGGCTTGTGCCTTAAAGGGGTTTTCGGCTTTGCGGGAACAACTGCCCGAGCTCGGGGCGTGCCCTCCCACTCGATGGACATCCCGCTGAGACTTAAGATGGGCAGCCGAGAAGGAAGTGAAAGGCCCTAAATTGCCAGTAATGGGACATTTTTAATGATTAAAAAGTCACAGGTTTTATCGTACGGTACTAAATGTTAACTTTTTTTGTGTTGATTTTTTTAATTTTATTTTTGGGTCATAAGAAGACAGATGGTAACATGATGTGAATGGTGGAGCATAAAGCATCCAGAGGTTTGACATAATTGGGTCCGCCTTCTATGATTATAAGTTGAATGTGTGCTAATTATCTGGGGTACGGGGCTGTACTAAGAGTTTCTTACCCTCCTCTCTGCACTTGCAGACATACAAGCGAGAAGGCAACGACCTGTTCATGAACCATAAGGTGGGGCTGGTGGAGGCGCTGTGCGGCTTCCAGTTCATGCTGAAACACTTAGACGGCAGGCAGATCGTGGTCAAGTACCCGGCTGGAAAAGTCATTGAACCAGGTTGGTGCTCCCGGCTTTGTCGGGAATTCTCCAGGACTCCCTGGTGTTTTGACGCACTTCTGGAACGTTCTGAGCCACTTGGCCGTGGTCGGCATCAAGAGTTATTTCTGTTTTTTGTTTCGTCTCAGGCTCCGTCCGGGTGGTGCGAGGAGAGGGAATGCCCCAGTACAGAAACCCCTTTGAGAAGGGCGACCTCTTTATCAAGTTCGACGTCCAGTTTCCCGACAACAACTGGATCAGCCCCGAAAAACTTGTGGTAAGTCGTTCATTCCTTGAGCGCGCTTTCCTCTTCAGTGTCTCCATCTGTGTCCAAAAGCTCGGCCGGACCCCCGGCACCGGAGCGCTTTGTCTTGCTGTTTCTCCAGCCGCTTGATGCCTCTGTGTGTGTGTGTGTGTGTGTGTGCGTGCAGGAGCTGGAGGACATGCTTCCCTCGCGGTCAGAGCCCCCCATCATCAGCGGGGACACGGAGGAGGTGGACCTGCAGGACTACGACGTCAGCCAGAGCTCGTCGTCGGGCGGCCGCAGAGAGGCCTACAACGACAGCTCCGACGAGGAGGGCAGCCACCACGGGCCGGGGGTGCAATGCGCCCACCAGTAATCCATGACCCCACCCCCCCTCTATACACACACACACACACACATAAATATAAATATGTATACACAGGCATATGACCCACATTGTACAGGGGGGAGAACATGTAGAAGTGGCAGAGTGAAGGAGGAGGTTCTACAGGCGGAGGAGGCCTGGCAGCTCCCCAGACACAGATCCAGAACGTCACATTGACTCCTGCACCCCGAACTCCATGACAAACTCGAAGTGCTCGAATCATTTTGATCTCTGTCTGAGGAGCTCCCGCCCGGGGGCAGCCGGACTAATCCACTGCACCTAAATCATACATAGAGACATTCAGCCAGCCGAGGCGCGCAGGGCTCAGCAAAAGAAGGCGTTGCCCCCGTGAACACAGAGCCATGCAGGACTATGAGCTGGTGTTCATGCTAACCCCTCCCACAAAGCCCCTCTTCATGTTCCTCACCCTGTGTTCATGCCCCCCCCCTCAACCCAATGGGAGCCCCTGATCAGCCGAAGAAAGGATTGCTTCCCGTTTGCCGAGTGCGTGGCTTGCATTATGTTTTCATAGTATTTACATTAATTTAAACTTAAACTAACCATTGAGCAAACGGAAGCAAAACAGCTGAGTAATGTGACACAACAGATCTTTCGATTATTCGCTCACTCATGGACTCATCCACTCAGAGCCATTTTGTAGGACTTGTTTCTGATTTTTACGCCTTTATTTTCTTTATAGGATTCTACTTTTTTTTTTCCTTTATATTTTTAATTCAAGATGAACATTGGTTGTGTATATCATTGAAGTGGTTGTTGGTAAGCTTCATCAGCTGCTTGTATTCCGAGCTGTGATTTTTAAAAGAAAAATCATTAGTGAAATGAGGAAAAGATGAAAAATTAAAAAAAAAAAAACCTAACAGTCTGTATCTGTGCTGAGACCATGTGCATGTAAAAAGCTTTGGTTCCTGCACTTACCAAACATAAAAACAAAGCAGCACTCTTCTTAAGAAATGTCTATGAAGTTGTTCAATAAATTGTTGACATATCATGTGGCTGTGGTGGTTTTCTTTATTTATACTGTTTAATCTAACTTATTGATTAAACTGAACGTCTCAAAAAGAAGTATGTGGTCATTTATCTCTTTTTACCTGCCATCATCGCTTAAGTGTTCCATCTTACCACCAGATTTCAGTTTGAAAAACCGGGAAGAGATAGAGACTCCTAAGAAACAACGATGGACATTAAGTCGTATGAAGTCCATATAGACCGACCGGTGATGATGTCACAGCTTCCACCACAAAAACACGCTGAAAACCTTCATCTTAAAAAGGGAAAAATAAAGCTTGTTGTACAGTTTGGACATTTGGTGAGGCTTCACGGCAGCCATATGAAATGTTTTTTTTAGGAGAGTTGGGGGGACAATTCCTTGAGATGACTGGTGACCAGCTAATGACTGAAATAGTGTCACACCCACCGGCTGGAGTTTAAAAAAAGCCATTCATCTCAGCTCTTTACAGCTGTCGTTAGTTTTTATTGTCAAGAGTTGATAATCTTGACAGGAACAGACTCCCTACATCTAAGTGTGAAAGCATAGAAGAAGCCTCATGCTGTTGGGCAGAGACCCTTATGTGTCTCATCAGAGCCTTCCAGTGGTTCGCAGGCTGTGATGCCTCCCCCCCAACAGACAGACTATCCAACAGAGCCTTTTGGGAAAAATAAATTATGATCTCTATCAGAAGTAAAAGGACTTATTTTTCAGTAAGGGAATTTACACATCTTCATAATGGCTACTGCGGCGACATGCGTGTATCGGCGCCGTGGCTTAGTTGGTTAAAGCGCCTGTCTAGTAAACAGGAGATCCTGGGTTCGAATCCCAGCGGTGCCTTTTACCCAAAACACCACCTCCTCTCCAACGTGTCATTTTACCCCAGGACACTGGCTGGAAAACACTTTTCTGATTAAATATCAGATATCTTAATAACGACCGACAGCTAATGTAATATGATATCGTGGAACACTTCTCCGAGCAGAACCGATTACCGGGGAAGCCGCTCTTGGAGCGGAAGTAGGCCCTACAAAAGTAAAGCTCAAAATATATGACGTAACCTTTTTAATTCGACACAACACAAAACGAGTATTGATTATTTTCAAAGAAACACCACATTGTATTGACAGGTTGTTGCTAGGTAAGTTATACAATTATATTTAAATGTTTACGATAAATCTGAGTCGAGCGTATTTAAAGTAATTAATTGGGTGTGCACCTTTAATTCTAAATTTATATAATTTCAACTGTATTTTGTACATATTTTTTAATATGAATATACATGAAAGTGCTTAAGTGAATGTTCCATTTTATAGTCTTGAATTTAAGAAGTAAGTACCACCTGAATTCTGTCAACCATCTACTCGCAACCTGCTCTGCTTTCCATTGTTTGTCGTGGCTGTTTAAATGCTTAAAAGGGCTTTTACATCGTGTTTTATCGATTCTAATGCCTGGTTTATTGAGTGGATTTGAAATAAAACGTAAATGTTCTTCTTTTTTAAATGTATTTTATTTGTGAGGCGGCAAAAGGCGAAATATGGGAACCGTTGAACAAACTGTGTGTCACTTTAATACATAAAGCATCAGATATTAGACATAGATGCATTTCCAGGTTAGAGGCTCCTGATTTGGAAACGTTTGCACCTGCGCGAAGAGCCGCACGTTCAACGTGGCTCTTGTTTTGAAGCTCGGAACCGGAAGTCTCCGGTCAAAGTCTCTGGCTTGACTGTGGGATCCTCGCCGGCCCTGCGGAGAAAAACAATGCGAGCAGACGAGCAGCGACCGGCGCGTGAGAGCTGACCGCAGCTCCCGGAGCCTGGTGGACGCGGATAAGAGCGGCGGTGCCCCGTCCCCCCCGTCCCCCCCCCCCCCCCCCCCCCCCCCCCTCCCCCCCTCCCGCCGCAGCATGGGGCTGCTGATGCTGATCGGGCTGCTGAGCCTCCGCTGCCCTGAGCTCCGCGCAGGTGAGTCCCCACGACCCGTGGAGCTCCGAATCTCCGGGGGGGAGGGAGGGAGGGAGGGAAGGGGGGGGGGGGGTATCCGACAGGGGGACTCCGCTCGTGTTTGGGAGCCTCGATTGTGCGCAGATTGTCTGTTTTGCAGCCCTTTAATGATGAAGATCTGACCCCACGGAGCGCCTCTCTGGAAGCTGGATGCTCCTGGGTGCCATTTGTTTTTGTATCGGGGTTTTTTTTTTTCTTCTGCCACAAGCTGTCATCATTTATCAAGTCTTAGGTTTCATTGTTGTGATGGAGCGCAGTGAGGAGGAGGAGGGGGGAGGAGGAGGAGGGAGGGGGGAGGAGGGGGGGGTTGGGGAGACCTGCGGCCGCATTGATCTGTAGTGGCTAAATGATCGGGGTTGGTGTAGAAACATGGATGCCCCCTCCCAAAAGTGATGCCGCTATCAGCATTACATCACCGCCTCTCTGCAGCCAGTCAGCCCCTCTCTTCCTCACCCCCCCCTCCCTCCTTCCATCCCTCCCTCCCTCCCTCCCAGTCTCCCTGCCTCCTCCCCCCATCCCGCTGTGATATCATGCGCTGCACCTTACCGGCACGAGCACAAAGGAGGAGGCTGCTAAAGCCGCACTATTTATTGATTTATTTACTTATTTTGCTTTTTTTTTTTAAGGCCGCGCGTGCGTCTGTGTTATAGGCAGAAAATTAATTAGTAGGTCCCCCCCCTCCATCCCTCACCTCTCCTCCTTTATTTTCTAAATCCGAGCTGTCAAACTCATGAAGCAAAGCTCATTTGAGGATCCAGCAAACAAAAAAACAAGCAAACCAAAAAAAATGGGGCAGAAGAAATGAAAGAGACTGCAGCAAAGTGTCCATCACTGAGCCTTTTAATGACCCCCCCCCCCTTCCCCCCTTCACTCCGATGCATCTGGAAAGCCTGAGCAGCACTCTCGCTCAGCAGAACAGCCTCCGAGCTGAGAAAGATTCTCCCTTAAACAGTTGAGTCTGTTGTTCAGAGCTTCCTCTCATTGCTGAGAGGTAAAAAAAAACAAAAAAACAAAACAAAACAACATCCACTCTGTGTCCATCGCACCCTCTCAGGATCTCTCCGGGGGGATAACACCAACTCCCCCCACCCGTCTCAAGTCTCTCCTCAGAGGTGTGACTCTTGTTCTGAAGCTCCTCTTGGCCTCCCCCTCTTCCTCCTCCTCCTCTTCCTCCCCCTGGAGCCGTGTTGTGATGGCAGAAGGAGACAGTTGCCTTGGCAGCCAGTTCAGCTTCTGCTCGCGCGCTCAATGGGACCAGCGTGGAGGCCAAAAATAAAAACAAACCCCACCGCTCTTTGCAAAAGAGCTCCTGCACGCTTTAAAAAAAACAAAAAACAAAACAATGGTTTTCAGATGAAGTCTCTCTCTCTCTCTGTGTCCAGCAGGCTGCAGTGAGCAGGTGGAGGTCCACACGGAGCGGAGGGGGGTGATCTACAGCCCCTCCTGGCCGGCCAACTACCCGCCGGGGGTCAACTGCAGCTGGCGCATCCAGGGGGGTCCCGGGGAGGTCGTCACCATCAGGTAGAAGAACCGCCTCGCGCCTGCGCGCGCGCGCCCCTCCGCTTTCCTAGCTCCCTCTAACGCCCTCTGCGCATGCTCCAGCTTCCGCAGCTTCGACGTGGCGGAGTCGGCCCGGTGCGCGGGGGACTGGTTGGTGCTGGCGCCGGCGTGGAGCGGGGACCCCCGGCTGTGCGGCTCGGTGCTGCCCCCCCCCTTCATCTCCAGCAGGGGGCGCGTCTGGCTGCACTTCCACTCCCAGGCCAACAGCTCCGGCCAAGCCCAGGGCTTCCGGCTGTCCTTCATCAGAGGTGAGCTGGACTATAACCCCAGATAGGGCAATTTGTTTCTCTTTGCGTTCCCACGCAATACCTTTGCCTGCACTCGCAAAACTCTTGCATACACTCCAGTACTTTTGCGCGCATTCCACTACTTTTACGCACTCGCCAAACGTTTGCGCGCACTCCCAGTAAGTTTAGCTTCCCCTCAGTCACGCAGGATGGTCAGCCCACTCGCCAGTTTGGTTTGCGTCAGTGTGGACACAGTGGGACACCCTGCCACCCTTTGCAGAAGTTTATAGGGTTTTTATTCAGAGATCAGTCAGCGACATATGAACACGTGTGTCCAAACTGTGCCAGGGACGCAAAAGAAATAAAAGATCCATGTTATAGGCTACCAGGAGGGCTGTATTAAAGACAAGACACAGACACAATTGCTGTTGGATTAGCCTCCTGAGACCCAAAGAAAAAAAGTGTCTTCAAATTTCTTTTTTGTTGTGATTTTCCATGTATTTTGACATAAAAAAGAACATTACAATTTCAATTTTTTTTTTAAATATTTTTTATTTTAATTTCATAGCATGTCCACAGGACATGTCAACAGGACGATTTGCATGGGAAAATAGAAAAGGCTCTAGATAATTAAATAATAAACAAGAAGATGTCTTGAAAGGGATATTTACCTAAGAACTCTTAGGAAAAAAGTAAAGTTCCCAGCATGCAAACCTATCACATGGCACATCACTGGAAAGCCCAGGATGTCCTCTACAGAACACTATAGGGCTTGATAGGGTAACTGCAGATACTTAGGGGGGGTACAGGTGGACAAAATGTCCACTATAATGGACATAAATGAATGGGCCGGGTCTCAGGAGGTTAGAGGCCTAAAATGGTACCTAACCCCCCCCTCCTTTTTTACATTCAGGCCACCTGGGTCAGAGCAGCTGCCAGTCGGACGAGTTCCTGTGCGGGAACGGCAAGTGCGTGCCGCGCGCGTGGCGCTGTAACGCGCACGACGAGTGCGGCGACGGCACGGACGAGCGCGGCTGCCCGCCGCCGCCCTCCACCGACCCCTGGCCGGGCCGGTGCCCGCCGGGCTCCGTGGCCTGCGCGCGCGCGCAGACCACGCGCTGCCTGCCGGCCGCGCTGCGCTGCGACGGCGCGCCGGACTGTCCGGACGGCAGCGACGAGCTGTCCTGCCCGGACACGGCCTGCGGCCGGAGGCTGGGCGGCTTCTACGGCTCCTTCGCCTCGCCGGACTTCTTCCGCGCCGCGGCCCCCGAGCGCCGCTGCTCCTGGCTGCTGGACACCCGCGACCCCAAGCCCCTGCTGCTGCAGCTGGACCTGCGGCTGGGGCCCGGGGACTCGCTGCGCGTGTACGACGGGCCGCTGCCGCGCACGGAGCGCCTCCTGCAGGCGCTGACGCAGCGCGACAACCGGCGCCCGGCGCTGCTGGAGTCCAGCCGCGGTCAGATGAGCGTGCTGTACGCCGCCCTGCCGCGCAGCCCCGGGAGAGGCTTCAACGCCACCTACCAGGTACCAACACACACACACACACACACACATACCAACACACACACACCCCGCCCTCACTCTGCCGGGAAGGCCCGGTTCACCTCGGGCTGACCGGACAGTGAAGCCTTTCCGGAGGACGCCTAAGGCCTCTGGTCAGCTCTAACTGAAGGTGGGGAGCACTGAGATGAAGAGACTGTAGGAGTAAAGAAAGAATTAGATGGGAAAAAAACACAAAAACCATAAGAGGTCAGCTGGGGGAGTGTTAATGGTGGTTAGGGGGTTCTGATGGGTCTTTAGCTGGTCAGAGCGGTTTGGGTCACATGGGAGTCAGGTGAGGGCAGCTGAGAGGTGAATCTTCTTGGGTATTGTTCCTAAAAGTGCTCTGGTAGTAAATGTACATGTACATATACTTATTTTAGCGCCTTTCTAGTCAAGCTGACTACTCAAAGCGCCTTACACTGTGTCATTCACCATTCACACACACATTCACACACTAGTTGCACCAGGGACTCTTCTACATGTGGTCTGGAGGAACATGGAGTTTAAACCACTGACCCTCCAATCAGTGGTCAGCTGCTCTTTCCCTTCTGAACCAAAGAAGACCACCTCCTCTGTGGAGGGATGGTTTTTCCAGGCTTTTCCTGGTTAGGATTTTCATCCAAAACCACACATTGTCTTAAAGGGAATCATCCTTTTTATTCCTTTTAGTGCTTTGAATCTGATACAGATGCTGTAGAAATCCAGCCTTTAGTGTTGATTTGAAGCAGGCAGTGGTCCTGAGCATACCCCCTCCTGCCCCCCCTCTGGGAATTGTTGGGCTTCTGTAAATAACTTCAGAGTAGGGTCTGACCTGCTCTGTTTGGAAAGCGCTGTGAGATAACCTTTGTTGTGATGTGGCGCTACATAAATAACATTTAATTGAACCGAATTGAATTCCCTGTTCCTCCCTCCCAGGTCAAAGGTTACTGCTTCCCTGGCGAGCGTCCCTGTGGCAGCGACCAGGGCTGCTACTCGGAGCGCCAGCGCTGCGACGGCTACTGGCACTGCCCGTCGGGCCGGGACGAGGAGGCCTGCGCCGCCTGCCCGGACGGGGAGTTCCCCTGCGAGGGGGGGGGGCGGCTCCCCCGGCCCCGCTGAGGGCGGCGGAGGCCCCAGCGGCCCCGGCGGCCCCGGCGGCGTGGTCTGCTACCCGGCCTCGGAGCGCTGCAACAACCAGAAGAGGTGCCCGGACGGCTCGGACGAGAAGAACTGCCACGACTGCCAGCCGGGGAACTTCCACTGCGGCACCAACCTGTGCATCTTCGAGACGTGGCGCTGCGACGGCCAGGAGGACTGCCTGGACGGCAGCGACGAGCGGGACTGCCTGGCCGCCGTGCCCCGCAAGGTGATCACGGTGGTGCTGATCGGCAGCCTGGTCTGCAGCCTGCTGCTGGTCATCGCGCTGGGCTGCGCCCTCAAACTGCACTCCCTCAGGAACAGAGAGTACAGGTCAGCGCCTGGCCTTCTTCGTCAGCTCAAAAAGGGGAAAAAAAACAAAACAGAAAGCCCTCTCTGAGCCCCGTCCTCTCCCCCCTTTTTTTTTTTTTACTTCCTCCCGCTCACAGAGCCTTCGAGACCCAGATGACTCGCATGGAGGCCGAGTTTGTCCAGAGAGAAGCTCCTCCCTCATACGGGCAGCTGATAGCCCAGGGTCTCATCCCCCCGGTGGAGGATTTCCCGGTGTACAACCCCACCCAGGTGACACCCTCTTATCTATGTATTTATTTGCATATCTCTGTCTTTGGTGTTTTCCGATCTGTATATCCTCTCAGTGAGTGGTTCCGATGTTCTCGGGTTCCCTTTTCTCCAGTTTCCACCCCAAGTCTTTCACTTGATCATTAGAATTGTTTTGGATCTGTTACAAACCGTTCAACTCAGACCCATGGATCACACAGGTTTAAAACAGGCACATGTCTCTATAGACATGAACGTTTTTCTTGTGGGCCTACCCAGTTTTAAAGTTATATTTACAACCCAAAAGAAAAAGAAAAAAAAAGCCGCTTGAAATCATCATGGTGATTCTCAAACAGCTTGAGGAAGAATGAAGAATAGGGGTACTTTTATTGTACAAACAGGAATAGAATGGGAATTCTTTAGTAGCGTTATTTTCTGATATCCGGATAAACTGTGGCCCCCACGTCCAGTTTTGCTGGACGCGTGTGAGGATTTGAGTCTCTGGATCCTATCCGATGCTCTCTTGCTCTTCCAGGCCTCGGTCTTGCAGAACCTTCGGCTGGCCATGCGGAGACAGATGCGGCGCCACTCCACGCGGCGCCCGGCCTCGTCCTCCTCCCGCCGCCGTCTGGGGGTCCTGTGGAGCCGGCTGTTCCGCGGCGGGGGGTCCCGGGCCCGGGGCCACGCCCCGCTGCTGGACCCGCCCGGCCCCGCGCAGATCACGCTGGGGCTGCACTGCTACCGGACGGCGGGCGAGCCGGGGGGCGGGTCAGCGGGGTCAGCGGGGTCAGCGGAGAGCCCCCGCTCAAGGGCCGAGACCCCGGAGAGCCCCGCCTCGCCGCTGTCCTTCCGCTCGGACGGGGAGGAGGCGTCCCCCCTCAGCAGCCCCAGGAGCCCGCAGTCCGGGCCCGCCACGCCCTCGCCGGGCGACCCCCCCCCGGCCGGCCGCCCGCCGCTCCCCCCCGCCGCCGCCGCCTCCCAGCCGTCCGCCCTGCCCCCCCGCCACCGCCGGCCGTCCAGGAAGCTGGTCCTGGAGCTGGCCGTCAACCTGAAGGGCGTCTCCCTCCGGCGCTACTCGCCGCTGGGGCCGCTGTCCCCCGCCTCGCCGCTCCTGGCGCCGGGCGGCTCGCCCCCCCTCTCAGAGGTCAGCTCACCCGCTCAGGCCACGCCCCCAGAGGCCAGCGGCCACCTGTCTGCGGACGAGCCCCGCAAGGACGAGAGGAGGAAGGTTCACAGAGGCGCCGAGTGAGGAGGAGGAG